TGTGTCTTCTCATGTGCAACCATTAAACAAAGAAATAATACTCTAGAGAATGACATGCCCATGAGAGGTTCTTTGCTTAAGTGGTACCTATCCATCTTCATGTGTCTTCTCATGCGCAAATGTTAAACAAAGAAATGATACTCAAGGGAATGACACGTGGTCTGAAATGGGGGAAATCATGCCGCCATATTGGATGACTTGAACAAAAGGTTTGGTCTTGCAATTCTTCAGTTTCGAGTTCCCTGTTGCTCAGGGTAGCCTTGGTTTTGCGTAGAATATTCATGTGCTCCAGTAAAGGTCAGTGGATTTGTTTTAAAGTTTCTATTGGTATACACTTATTTCAATAAAGTTAGTCACCTGAAAAGCTATAAAGCTGAGGCCGACAAGGATTATGGGTAGATTCTTTTTACACGTTCAACCGCTTGATAACTGTTGATGGACTTGCGAATCTTTTAACGGTTACAGTCTCACCTCTTCTTAGCATCATCGAGCTGCAGTTTGTATTAAAAAAGCTTTGTATATATATGCTTTTTTGATATTAAAAGTTTCCCATGATGCTCAGTGATCTCAGCTTTCTAGGTTTTTGGTGACTAACTTTATTGAAATAAGTGTATATTTGTGAATATCTATGCACTGATTCGAGGCTAACCCAGCTAGAGTAAATAAGTCTGTAATCAAGGAACGTTATAAAAACACGACAACAAGCCATGACAGGAGGCAGGAACAATTGAATCTGATCTAATCTGATTTACATGAGAAAGCATGCAGTTTCACTGGAGGAAAATACTATTGCTGTGCCTCCTGTCATGGCTGCTATCACGTGATAGTGACATGTAGGAATTTTAGAACTGGTTCACCACAGGTAACCCGTATTCATATTTTCTTTCAGCGACAACGTTCACCACGTGTGACTTCCCATACGAGAAGGTTGGCTGCTTCCGTGACAAAGAGAACCGAGCGTTACCAGAAGAACTCGTCAACGACCGTGACCCGACCAACCCGGCCTGGAGTGGTCACATGATTGATTGGAAACAGTACGATAAATCTCTCCACAGGTTAGTACCCAGTAGCACAAGAATCCTCTCGGCCATACTGCAGAGAGAGGGCTTGGCATACTTGAGTCAGACAACTATAAGATCCAGCTGAGCGGCGGATTTGGTTTCAGCCAATCACAGCGCGTTTAGCTGTTTTGCCACCGGCCCTCATTCCCAGGCTACAGTAACCCAACTTTTGCGTAGTTTTCTTTTGACTAAATGTAATATAGTTGCCTACAAAAAGCAGAAATATGGAAAGGAAGAATAAAAACAACTTCACTTTGTCGCCATGTTTGCGTTGTTCTTTCAAGCTCATTAAATGCTTGGGGCCGGTCATTTTGTCCACTAATACTTTGCGCGCCGCGTTCAACGCTCAGCTGCATTATATAGTATAACTAATGAGGGTCACTAAGAATGTACCCTGTCCAATAAAGTTGGTATTGCTTTTGTTATTATTATGACTAATCTGACGTAGAGATAACTAGCTAAAAATTAGTGTGAGCTGCGTCGGTGTTTCTAATGAAACAGTAATGATAAAAGGGTAAATTATACACCGTCAAAAGATGAAAAAACGTACTGACGTTTCGGACGCTAGTCCTTCGTCGGAGTAAAAGAGAAAGAGGTGGTAGAAAGGAGTGTTTATATGATAGAATAGATAGATATGATAGATAAGAAACCAATGGGAACAAGGTAGGCAAGGAAACAAAAACAAACAATGAATAGACAAAAGAATGGGTTAGTTGAAAGCAAAGCGTTCATTAATAAAGAAGTAGTGACGTAGAAATGACGTCACTGCACAACCGAGTTGTCATGAAGCCTGTATTTGACTACCGAAAAATAATAACTTGCCCACCGTTGCAATAAAATTATCAAAATCATTAAACATTATGTCACTGATACCAACAATCGTAATTATTAGAGAGTTTTAGATTGACTTTTTTT